ACTTCTTCTTCTTCTTCTTCTTCTTCTTCTTCATCCTCATCCTACTTCTTCTTCATCCTCATCCTACTTCTTCTTCTTCTTCTTCTTCATCCTCATCCTTCTTCTTCTTCTTCTTCTTCTTCTTCTTCTTCATCCTCATCCTACTTCTTCTTCTTCTTCTTCTTCATCCTCATCCTACTTCTTCTTCTTCTTCTTCTTCATCCTCATCCTACTCTCTTCTTCTTCTTCATCCTCATCCTACTTCTTCTTCTTCTTCATCCTCATCCTATACCTTCTTCTTCTTCTTCTTCTTCATTCTTCATCCTCATCCTACTTCTTCTTCTTCTTCATCCTCATCCTACTTCTTCTTCTTCTTCTTCTTCATCCTCATCCTACTTCTTCTTCTTCATCCTCATCCTACTTCTTCTTCTTCTTCTTCATCCTCATCCTACTTCTTCTTCTTCTTCTTCATCCTCATCCTACTTCTTCTTCTTCTTCTTCTTCATCCTCATCCTACTTCTTCTTCTTCTTCATCCTCATCCTACGTTCTTCTTCTTCTTCTTCTTCTTCCTCATCCTACTTCTTCTTCTTCTTCTTCTTGCCATGGGCCCCCGTACCGACTCCTCATGCTGCTGCCAGGCCCGTAATCTGTCATGGGCCCCTGTACCGCCTCCTCATGCTGCTGCCAGGTCCAGAGTGTGTCATGGGTCCCTGTACGGCCTCCCATTGCTGCTGTCTCCATCGCCACACTCTGCCATGTGCCACTTTCAGGACTCCTCACACTGCTGGTGGGTTCCATTTTGTCATAGGGTGCTGTATGGCCTCCCATTGCTGCTGCCTCCACCGCCACACTGTGGCTCCACACTCTGGTTTTGGCCCCGTGACTGCCCAAATGAGTGAAGTGTGCGGTGATTCTAAGATCGACGGCACTCATCTGCATGTCATACTGACTGACAGTATTATTTTCTCTTCCCCAGCAGACTCCAAGGGCATTTAAATTAAAGGTACAGTGTTCTGCACTAATATAAAGGCTCTCTGAAGCCTAGAAACCCTTTTTATAAGTTAAATTCGCAGCGAATAAATTCGCATCGAATCAAATTTATTCCACAAATTCGGCGAATCAGCCGAATCGAATTTTTGAATAATTCGCTCATCTCTAATCATTTCCTATGGGACACGTCCACATCTCCACGTTTTCACCCGGTGTGTTTTTTGGAAAGGGTCAGGAACTTTTTTAAATGAAAAAAGTTTCATTTTTGGTTCTATAGACTTCAATGGCAATGCTGCAGAAAACCATGTAGTGCATTTTTGCTGCATTTTTGATGAGTTTTTGACCTGTGTTTGATGTGTTTTTGATGCATTTTGCATTTTAAATTTGCCTAGCAACCAGGAAAAAAAGAAAGCAAAACGCAGCAAAAACACTTCAAAAATGCATGTGCAAAAATGCAAAACGCACATCAGAAACAGATCAAACGCAAACTGCATAGGTGTGAACCTAGCCTTACAGTTCTCACGCAAGGTGCTGTCATTTCCTATGTGCAGCAGTAGTTAATGTTGGCTATGTTTACAGTACACAAAGTTCTTTCTCCCTCTGTATTTACAGGTAACTCATTCTTTCTGTAGACATTTCTTAAATAACACCATATATAAACAAAAAGGAGAGTCAAATCTTAATGGCCAGTGTGTCTCTAATAATGGTCCACCTAGGAGAAAGTGCTAAAATGTAGCCAGTCTATTGGGGTATTTGTTACAGAATGTTATTTACTGGAAAATAAAGCTATGCTTCAGTGAATTGCCAAATGTTAGGCTCAGTCCTCTGCAGGTGATCAGAGATTACAATGTACTTTGTTATAATATTATATAACTAAGGATTGCCATAGTTTTTGTTAACCACTTGAGCACTGGAGGGTTTAACCTCTTTCATGACCAGGGCAATTATTTGCTCTTCAGCACTATGCTACTTTAATTGGCAATTGCACGCTCAAGCTACACTGTACCCAAATTATATTTATATCATTTTATTTACACAAATAGAGCTCTTTTGATGGTATTTGATCACCACTGGGTTTTTTTAATCATATAAATGAAAAGGCCGAAAATGTTGAAACAAAAACTATATTTTCTACTTTCTGTTATAAAACATATCCAATAAAATCAAATTTCTTCATACATTTAGGCTAAAATGTATTCTGCTACATGTCTTTGGTAAAAAATGCAAATAAGTGTATATTAATCGCTCTGCACTTTTTCATATTTTGTATGCTTCAGAGGTTTTAAGGTTTCCTTTAGTGTATCAGCTGCTTATAATTTTATTGTTTTAGCACTCGCTGGACCACTCTTATTTTGAAGTGTATATTAATCACTTGCCTACTGGACACTTTTACCCCCTTCCTGTCCAGGCCAATTTTCAGCTTTCAGCACTGCACACTTTGAATGACAAGTTTCCAGCCATGCAACACTGCACCCAAACAAATATTTATTATTTTTTTGAGACAGAGATTTCTTTTGGTAGTATTTAGTCACCACTGGGGTTTTTATTTTTTGTTAAACAAACTAAAAAAGACTGAAAGTTTTGGGGAAAAAAGTTTTTTTTTTTAGTTTCTGTTATAAATAGTTGTAAATAAGTAATTTTTCTCCTTCACTAATGTGCGCTAATGAGGCTGCAGTGATAGGCACTGATAGGCTGCACTGATGAGGAAGCATTGGTAGGTGGCACTGATGGGCATTGACAGGCATCACTGGTGGGCATTGACAGGCATCACTGGTGGGCATTGACAGGCATCACTGATGGGCACTGAAAGGCAGCACTCATAATATATGGCACTGATAGGTGGCACTGATTGGAATTGTTAGGTGGCACTGACAGGCACTGATAGGTGGCACTGATGGGCACTGATAGGCGGCATTGACTGGAACTGATAGGTGTCACTGATTAGTGGCACCGATAAGTGTCACTGACTGGCACTGATAGGCATCACTGACTGGCACTGATAGTTGGCACTGAAAGGCAGCTCTGATGGGCACTATGTGGCATTGATGTGCACTTGTAGGCACTGGTATGTGGCATTGATGGGCACTGACAGGTGTCACTGATGGGGCTACACTGATCATCAGTGTAGATATCCACTCTGAGAAATGCCGATTACCGGCTCTCCTCTCCTCACGAGCTGTCAGCATGAGGAGAGGACTGCTGATAACCGGCATTCCTTGTTTACATAGATCAGCTGTGATTGGGTACAGCTGATCACATGACAGAGCCTGTGTCATCAGCTCTTTACTGTGATCGGTGATCCACTGTGTCCCAGGGACACAGCACACCACCGATCGCCGTGCGCCCTCGGGGTGCATATTCGCAGTTAGAGTGGGAGAACATCATATGACATCCTACCAGAATGAGAGAGCTGCCGCCTGCCCATCATTTCCCTATATGGCGGACAGGAGGTGGTTAATTGGTTTGTGTGAAAGTTATAGCATCTACAAACTATGGTATACAGTATACGGTATATTTGAAAATTGATAGACTCTGATGTACTGACGGCCTATCTCATTCATGAGACCCTAAAACCCCAGGACAGTGCAAATACCCCCCAAATGACCCATTTTTGGAAAGTAGACAGCCTGAGGTATTTAGTAAGAGACATGGTGAGTTGTAATTTTTGTCACAATTTTTGGAGAATTAAGAAATTAAAAAGAAAAAAAATGTGTTTTTTTTCCATTTTTTTTTTTACATGCTGTCACTAGTACATTACATATACTGCATTACATATAACTGGTGCGGCAGTGATCACATATACTGACTGGTAACAGTATGAAAAAGAAAAAAAAAATGTTTTTTTTTTTTAATTTTGAAACTTTTTTTATGTAAAAAAAAATTTTTACACCCTGTTATCAGAGTAGCTCAGTGTCACCATAGTAACACCTCGGGGAGGGGGGTTACAGTATTATAATACTTATAAAGGGAAGATCACTGTAAAAGCAATAGCTTTAGCTGTCAGGAATGGGTTAACCATTCATTAACGGCTTGCTTTTGATTGTGATCTGTGATTGGCTAAGCTAATCACATGGTACAGGTAGCCACATACCATGTGATTGCTTTGGGCCAATTACAGATCACAATAGCAAGCAAGCTGTTTTTGAATGGAACCCCATTTGTGACAGGTAGTTTACATTGTTATCATGTGATTGCTATGATCAATCATAGCAATCACATGATACCCAGTTACCAATCACCAATAACAATGATCCAGCACATGCAAAATTATCCAAAGGGACAAGCACAAAAATTTTTCTTCATACAATAACACAATGAGCGATTTTCATTTATTGAGTACAGTATTCGTCCGTAAAAAATCGAGTGACTAAGACTGTGCATTTCCGAAAATGAAAGAATACAGTACAACACAATACATTACATCACTTCCAAAATTGTATTCTGTCTTATAAGAATTTTCATATTTTGAGTAACCTATTCATTTTCAATATGAGACTAGCATGCAAAAAAAACCCAAAGCGGACAATCATTTGTTCGATATTCTCATAGTATGTTTCAGGCCTTAGTCCACTTTTCCAAAAACGGGGTGGAGCTTATCCTTTAAACTTAACCACTTGCCCTCCAGAGCATTTACCCCCCTTCCTGACCAGGCCATTGTTTACATTACGGCACTGCGTTACTTTAACTGACAATTGTGCTGTCATGCAACATTGCACCCAAATGAAATTTACGGCCTTTTTTTTTTACCACAAATAGAGCTTTTTTTTGCGCTATAAAAAAAAAATTACTGACAATTTTGAGAAAATTTTTTTTTGACTTTTTGCTATCAAACATGTTCAGTAAAAAATGTTAAAAATCAAATTTTGGCATACATTTATGCCAAAATGTATTCTGTTACATGTCTTTGCTAAAAAAGAAAATCACGATATGTGTAAATTAATTGGTTTATGTAAAAGTTATAGCATTTACAAATGGCAATATATATACTGGGGTTTTTTGTTTTTTTTTTTACTAGTAATGGTGGCGATCAGCGATTGCGGTGGGCATTCTGACACTGGGGGGAACTGACTTGTCACTGACATCCCCAGTGACACCAATACAGTGATCAGTGCACTGACACTGAACTAATGGCACTGGGCAGCAAGGGGTTAACATGTGGGGCGATCAAAGGGTTAACTGTGTGCTGTTTTACAAACTGCTGTGTGTGTGTGTGTGTGTGCTTCACTGTAAGCACACTGCTTTGCATGGCTCTGCTATGCAAAGCCATGCATAGCAGTGTGCAAGAGCTGACATGGGAGAGAACTGTATTGTTTACTTACAGTTCTCTCCCTCCATTGGTAAGGCTCCTCGATCTCACTGTGATTGACAGCTGAGGCCTCAAATAGCGCACCCCCTACCCGGAAATGCAAAAGCACATATATATATATATATATGTGATTTTTGTGCATCCCTGCCGCCCTGTAGCAGTATGTTCACGTCCATGGCTGTCAATCACTGGGTCCCAGGCCAGTGATTGCCCGCCGGCGCCTGGTGATTACCGAGAGTATTCGACGGAGAGGATGACTGCTTTGTTTACTAACAGTCCTCCTCCCTGTTAGCTTGGGCACACTACTCTAGATGGCTATGCACAGCACAGCCATCCAGAGCAGTGTACTTTCAGTGAAGTCCACACACAAGCTCCCTATGTAAAACACTCCCTGCATACAGTTAACCTTTTGATCGCCCCCCATGTTAACCCCTTCCTGCCCAGTGCCATTAGTACAGTGTCAGTGCTTTTTATTTTAGCATTGATCACTGTATTGGTGTCACTGGGGATGTGAGTGACACCAAGTCAGTTCCACCCAGTGTTCGAATGCCTGCTGCATCCCGCAGTCCCGCTATAAGTCGCTGATCACCGCCATTACTAGTAAAAAAAAACAAAAAAAATTCCAGTATCTATACCGCCATTTGTAAACGCTATAACTTTCACATAAACCAATTATTCACACGCATTGGGATTTTTTTAGCAAATTTTGGCATTTTGGCATACATTCATGATGAAATTTGATTTTTTAACAATTTTTTTACTGGACATGTCAAAAATATAGTTTTTTCCTCAAAATTTCAGACTTTTTTTTTGTTACAGCGCAAAAAAAATAAAAACCGCACAGGCGATCAAATACCACCAAAAGAAAGCTCAATTCGTGGGGAAAAAAAAGAACATAAATTTCATTTAGTGCAGTGTTTTATGAAAGCGCAATTGTCAGTTAAAGTAAAGCAGTGCCGTAATGCAAAAAATGGCCAAGAAGGGGGGTAAATCCTCAGGAGGGCAAGTGGTTAAGAAAAAAAATGCTATTCAATATGTTCTTAACTTTGTAAAAGCACCTTGTCTTGCTCTCAGCCCCCTACCTTCATTCTCCATAGTCCCAATGTAAAAGTAAGAGCATAGTCGCCTTCTCTGAGATGGACTAGGAACTCTGGATTATGAGATTTTAGTGTGCATAGAGCAGTGCACATGGCCACAACTAACATGCACTGCTCATTCCAAACAAAACAAAATGAGTGTGAAAAGAAGAGGCTCAGGTGCTCACAGAGGGTGAGGCAAAAAAAACACAGTAAGAAACAATTTCATGAAAAATAGATTACAGCACCATTAAGTAATAGATGTATATATTGACTTCCATATCTGTTATTTGTTTTCTCTTTCTGAAAATTTAGAAACAAATCTAGTTTGTTTTTGCACCAACACTTTTTGTTTTCTATTTTTTTTACTCTTTTGGAAGATGACTTCTGAAAAGAGATGAGAGCTTTGTGTTTTATGAGGAAGAGTTAATATTCGATGTTTCTCAGTCTGTCTGTTGTGTGTCTGATGCTGCTGTGTTTAGTGTTTCAACATGCTGCTAGTACAACCCAAAACAATACAAACCTGAACAGCGAGTTTTTGTCTTTTAGGACATTCAGAATGACAATATGAGAGCAGAGCTGTGATATATCCCGCAAGGTAAGTCATCTAGACCATTGTATACTGGCATATACTTAGCTTTTCCTTCTTAATCTATACTACCAGCTTGGTCTGGGCATGTATTGCATGATAGACGTTGTAGAGCCTACTGTCCTCATCACATCATAATTAGCTTTTTTTTAATGCAACTGCAGTTGAAATGTCTACAGATGTATTTTTGTAGTTATAATAGAATAGTTATTAAGAAAGTTTGGGCTTGGATTAGAGCAATCTTTCCCCACCAGAGTTCCATAAAGCTCTAGGGTTCCTCTTGTAGATGCTCGTGTCCCTTGAACCTACCTACATTGACCACCATTGAAAGGATGACAATTTTCCACTGCCACCAATGTAAGGGGTCACCTTTATGCTGACCACCAACATAAGGGGACACCACAATATTTACAGTCTGTGCTTCTTTTTTGCTATTGTCATTCATTTCATATAATTATATCATTCATATAATTTCATTTTAAGTTTATTACTGATAATAATTTGATTGTATAAAGAAGGAGGATGTGAAAAAAATGATTTGCCCTGGGTGTCATATATGCTGGTTATGCCACTTTTCTCTTTAAAGTGGAGCTCCAGTCTGTTAAAAAAAAAAGTCAGCAGCTACAAAAACTGTAGCTACTGACTTTTAAACAGACACTCACCTATCCCTCAATCCAGTGGTGTGCTCACCGTAGCCGGGTTCACCTTGTGTCACTGCTACACCACCAGCCGTCCCACTAAAGTGAATGGGACTGTTGGTGAGTCAACAGCGGGTCAGAGGAGGAGCCGCCGCTGGACAGAGATAACAGTTGCTCTTTAAAAATTATGATTTAAATCGAGCTTTTTCACTAGTGATTTAAATCAAATCCACCCTGCTTTGGAGGGAATTCTTGTCACTTCCAGTTTTGGCTATAGAACTGGAAGTGAAGGTAAATCTCTCCAAAAGGGACACAGATAGTAAAAAAAAAAAAGACAGGCATTATAACCCTCCTTTGCTATACTCAAAATGAAAAAAAAAATTTCCTTTAGTTCTACTTTAAAAGGGACATGTCATGAAATCAGCATCTGTGCTGTCAATCATGATTTGGAAATTGTGGTTCCTTGTTAGACATGCTGATGCTCGGATTCCACAAGTATGCAAGTCAGGATTTCTGACTTAACCCATAACATACAGTGCCTTGAAAAAGTATTCATACCCCTTGAAATTTTACAAACAAAAAAGTAAATTAGTTTTATGCGATAGACCAACACAAAGTGGCACATAATTGTGAAGTGGAAGGAAAATGATAAATGGTTTTCACAATGTTTTACAAATAAATATGTGAAACGTGTGGTGTGCATTTTTATTTAGCCCCCCCTGAGGTAATACTTTGTAGAACCACCTTTCGCTGCAATTACAGCTGCAAGTCTTTTTGGGGATGTCTCCACAAGCTTTGCACATCTAGAGAGGGACATTTTTGCCCATTTCTTCTTTTCAAAGTAGCTCAAGCTCTGTCAGATTGGATGGAGAGCGTCTGTGAACAGCAATTTTCAAGTCTTGCCACAGATTCTCAATTGGATTTAGGTCTGGCCTTTGACTGGACCATTCTAACACATGAATATGCTTTGATCTAAACATTTCATTGTAGCTCTGGCTTTAACCTCCGCCCCAGTCTCAAGAATTTTGCAGATTCTAACAGGTTTTTTTTCTAAGATTGTCCTGTATTTGGCTCCATCCATCTTCCCATCAACTCTGACCAGCTTTGCTGTCCCTGCTGAAGTAAAGCATCTCCACAACATGATGCTGCCACCACCATGTTTCACGGTGGGGATGGTGTGTTCAGGTGGTTGTGCAATGTTAGTTTTCCATTTTGCTTTTAGGTCAAAAAGTTAAATTTTGGTCTCCTCTGACCAGAGCACCTCCCTTCAAATGGTTTCTGTGTCCCCCACATAGCTTCTTGCAAATTGCAAATGGGACTTCTTAATGCCTTCTTTCAACAATACTTTATTCTTGCCACTCTTCCATAAAGGTCAGATTTGTGGAGTGCACGAATAATAGTTGTCCTGTGGACAGATTCTCCCACCTGAGCTGTGGATCTCTGCAGCTCCTTCAGAGTTACCATGGGCCTCTTGGCCTTGGATTAATGCTCTCCTTGTCTGGCCTGTCAGTTTAGGTAGGCTTGCAGTTGTGCCATACTTTCCATTTTTGGATGATGGATTGAACAGTGCTCCGTGAGATGTTCAAAGTTTGGGATATTTTTTTGTAACCTAACCCTGCTTTAAACTTCTCCACAACTGTATCCCTGAGCTATCTGGTGTGTTTCTTGGACTGATGCTGTTTGTTCACTTATGTTCTCTAACAAACCTCTAAGGGCTTCACAGAACAGCTGTATTTATACTGAGATTAAATTACACATAGGTCTTTATTTACTAATTAGGTGACTTCTGAAGGCAATTGGTTCCACTAGATTTTAGTTATGGGTACCAAAGTAAAGGGGGCTGAATACAAAAGCACGCCACACTTTTCATATATTTATTTGTAAAACATTTTGAAAACCATTTATCATTTTACTTCCACTTCACAATTATGTGCCACTTTGTGTTGGTCTATCACATAAAATCCTAATAAAATACATATACGTTTTTGGTTGTAACATGACAAATTGTGGAAATTTTCAAGGTGTAGGAATATTTTTTCAAGGCACTGTACATGCTATACTTAATAACTCATTAAATAACTGAGCCAGAGGACCCGCTGGCAGACAGGCAAAGGACAACTCCAGCAATGACAGCACAAATATGTTATTGTATGTCCCTTCTGCAATAAAGAGCCTGCTTGCTTGCAGTTTTTGAAAGCAGTACCTTACTTCTACTTTAAGATATTCACATTTATGTTTAATTACCTTAATCTAGAGATAATGGGATCATTTACTAAAGAAGAGGCACTTCACATTATTGTATTTTCACTTTAGAACCTACATAATAATAGGGTGACAATGCGCTCACTTTAAATATCCAACCACATGCAAGAGAACATAGGAAAAAAGAACAGATTTTTGTTTGATGTGAACACAGCTTCATCTTATTTTCTCAGTGAACATTTACTTTGCAAAGTGACAACTCTCTGTTCCCTTAGTAAATCAGGCCATTTGAAAGGTTTATATAACTAAAGTATGAATGTGGGGCCCAGCTGTCTTAAAAGCACTGAAGGCAGATGTCAATGTTATTATCCATGGTGGATTTTTCATTTTTTTTTTTCTGCTATTTGTCATATTGAGTACTGATATAACCTTGAAGCCGTGCTTTATGGGTTCAAGGTAATGCACTGAAGTACGTTGCATTTAAGAAAGACTGTTTTCTCATTGGTTAATTCCTAGCAATTGAAAAATGTGTATAGATGTAAAATTAATTCAAATCAGGTTATAGAACAGGCAAAAACAAATGACTATTTAAAGCTTACAAAT